GACAGGTAAAATTTGGACAGATAGAAAATTTGCACAGATAAATTTGGACAGATAGAAAATTTACACAAAAATTTGAACAAATAGAAGATTTATACAAAAAAAATTAAACAGATAGACAAAAAAATTAAACAGAGAGACAAAAAATTAAACGGATAGATATAAATTTAAACAGATAGTCAATGAAAAGTCAAATAGATAAAAAAAAGTCAAGAGCTAAATCAGAAACAAAATATCTTTTAGAACTTCTTACCAAACTATTTCACAAAGTGTGGACCTATTTCTAACAAAAAAAAACCATTGCAGGGAAAGGAGGAAAAATTGTCTAGTTTACCTTTACAATGAACTTTGACAGACAGAAACTGTTGCCATGTCACTACGGATGCTAGGAATAATAGCAAGCTTATCTAATTGTTCTAATGTAAAAACACCAACTGGCCTCAAACTTGAGTTGTAAGACGTACCATAAAAGTTACCAGTATAATTTACAACGACCACCATTTTGTAGCCCTTCTCCAACATTAGGTCAATCACACGACCAACAGATGTCGAGGTTGTAACATAAGGAGGCGGGCTTCTCATCATCGATGAAAGTGGGGCATTTAACTGCACAAAAATGAACAATATATATACCACAATGTCCAAATCTATCATGACTAAGCCAGTAGAGCAAGCTTCTAAATTGCTCATGCAAAATAATTCCTCTGGCTGTTACCAACTTACACAGTTAAGAATAGCAGTTCTTCTACGTTTACAAAATCCCATCACAGAACCAAACACAACCCTCTCACATTGGACATACACGTTTGGTGGGGCTCACCTCATGTGAGACGGTTGCATTCAATTTCGTGATCGAATTCTGTGCACTTAGAATTTTTTTAAGAATAACTCACTGAAACTAAAGAGAAAGTACCTTGTTGCAGTCTTCTCGGTGCAGCAATCCTACACAGCATCCCCAGTCATCTATGACTGGCATCGGAGAGGTTTCCGGCACACACCTGCCGGCTAGCTCACGTTTGTGTTTTCAGGTGATAAAGCGACGTCGTACGGAGGAGCGTGGACTTGGTCAACAGGATTATACGAGGAGAATTATTTCTTCCCCGTACAAGTCTCATATCAACAAAGGCACTTTAATTAATTAAATGTTTTTTTTGTTAATTTTGTTAATGTGTTCTTAAAGTATATGTTAATTTTTAAAAAACATTTATATATTTTATATTAAAGTGAGTATAATAATATATAAAAAAAAAGTATAATCCTTCTACACTTTTGTAATGTATGCCATATAACAAGACTCACTAAAAGTATTTAGGTAAATTATTAATATGTCATAATATTTCGACTTAATTTTCATTAAGGTCTCGTTTGGAAACAAGTTATTTTAGTAATTTTTTGACTTTTTAGCTAAAATATAAGGAAAAAAAAATTTGTATGTTTGTAATGACTTTTTGATTTTTTACAAAAATATGTGCAAAACGTAGAGAGAGAAAATGAAACCTTTAACTTTGTGGTATAGGTTATAGGCTTTTTGATTTTTTTAGTAAATTTTTGGCTTTTAGGCTAAAACTATTACTTCCCAAACGAGGCTTAAATCCTATTGAAAGTTAGTCCTACTAAAATCGTCATTAAAAATAATTTTTTGTGATACTTTTTTATATGTCGGTAAAAATTAATAATTATTGATTTTTTTGTCACGATTATTATAAATTGTCTTTAAAACTTACAATTAGTGACATTTTTATTTGATCAACTTTTAAAATTGACGTTGAAAGTTAAACTATTACTAAAATTTATATTTTTTTGTCACGCATTTTTTTGGGGGGGGGGATGATTTGTTTAAACTATTATTAAAATTTATAATTAGTGACTTTTTTTTTTGATAAATTTTTTAAATTTTTGTTGAAAATTAACAATTAGTGACATTTTTAAATAGTGATTGATAAAAAATACATTTAATTATTACACGATCTATTAAAAAATAAATTCCCTTATTAGAACTTACATGTAAATCCCAAAACATTTTTGTGGTGAATAACATGTCAATTACAGTGGGTTGCAATGAGCTCATTTGGAACCTATTTTTTACTTTCTTTTAAGGATTAATTATAAGGCCTTTCCAATTATCAACATATCAACTTAATTGTAACATTTTTTTATTTTATTACACTCATCTCCAAAAAAAATAAGTGACAAAAATATTTTTAAAAATAAAATAGTTATTTTTTAATAATAAATAATAAAAACAAAATAAACATCTAAATTATTATTGTTGGCTGAGCTGGGCTAGGTGGGTTATATGTCTAAATTTCAAGCCCAACTCATTAATTGAGTGGGCCAAACATATTAATCCAACCCAATTTTATAGAATAAAATATCCTCTCTCTCTCTCTCTCTCTCTCTCTCTCTCTCTTAAAAAAAAAAACTGAATTGGAAAATTGTACTACACCACAAGTCAAGTGGTGGGTATGTTTGAGAATTAGCTATTTTAATTAAAAAATTTAAAAATGGTAATACCTTCTAACTTCTTGGTTTTTATAATAGGAATAGGAATATGAATGAATGAAGCACCAAATTTGCCCAACCAATATGACTGCTGGACAACGAGCACTATGTTTATTAACCTTCTTTCTCCCACCCTCTCCTCATACCTCTGTTTCTCACTGTAGACACCCCATTTTTGACCGACCTTAAGACTCAGACATCACCAGTTGAGCGCTTGGTGATACTGCATATCGTGCTCGTCTAGAAGTTTTAGAGTCTCGGCTGCGAGCCTTGCCTCCGGACTTCCGGACTCTTTTGTGCTTTGCCTCGGTTTGCGAACCAGGCTCGATTTTCTCTGTTTCTTTTCCTGAGGGGAGGGAGAGGTCCCGTAGACCATCTCTCAGTGGCCGTGGGCTACATTTTGTGGCTGTAGGCCATTTTTCCCATTTCCGAGCCCGGTTCCCGGTTCTCGGTTTTCGGAGCCGTCAGGCCGTGTGCCTCGGTTCGAGACTGCTTAACCATCTCCTATTGCTCCGGTTTTTGGCATGCATCTTATTTACTCCCTTTTGAGGGACACTGAGGTCTGAGAAACCCACTTCGTGGTCAAACACCACTCCCGGTGCCTAACAGCCAGTTTTCGGGGCCTCGGGCTGCGCGTTTCGGCCCCCGAACCTTCATTTTGCATCGGTTTGGGCTCATTTTTGGTGGAGATCTTATTTTCACTGTTATAAAGCTTGTAGGAGGGTGGGAGGCCAGCAATTTTGTTGAAAAGCCAACTTCTTTTTGGTCAAAAGTGGTTCAGCATGAATCCGGGAAGGAGAAAAATCTGCGCGGCTTCACCGAAACGGGCGTAACTCTTTGCACAAGAGGAATTAAGATATGAGGCCACCACCATTGGAAAGCTTACTTCCGGGGCTTCATTTTTCACTCAAGAATCTCCCAAGTCCAAGTCCGGGGGGGGAGATGTGGTTGGTTGAAGTCTGGTTGGACCGAATCTGCGCGGCTTCACGGAAAAGGGCATAACTTTTTCTACAGGAGGAATTTTAATGCAAGGTTTGCGCCATTGGAAAGCTAACTTCTGGGGCTTCATCCTAGGGGGTGGCCGGCACTTTATAGCTGTATAGCTGTTTCCCCCAGAAAATATCTCAATCCGGGGGATATTTTGTGGGGGAAGACTTGCCTCCTTTTCCCCCACCTTTTCCCCTCCTTGTCTCTCCCTTTTTGGTCCTTATAACCAGCTGCAAGCATTGGTCTTGAAGGGAAAAAAAATTGGTCTTCAAGCTTGTATACAAAAATCCTCCTCCATTTCTCTCATTTCCTTGAAAACCTCCAAGTCCTACACCACCATTTCTTCTACACCACCAACCCCCACCCTTCCATCCTCCATTCCAGAAGTTTGAAGGTGTTCTCCAAGGTCTAAGGGTGCTACAAACTCAAGCCAAGAGTTGCTAAAGGCTTGTCCTCAAGGGTGAGTTGCATTTTCCCCTTTTTGGTCCATTTCTTGTATCTTTTGTAAGCCATACATGCTTACTGTTTTGAGATCCGGACCTAACTGAAAGTGGCCTTTTTTTGAGCTCTTTTTCACTTTTTCTTAAGGGCTCAACCCTGTTTGAGCCCCCCATCTTACACTTGCTTCAATATCCTTCTTGAATGCCATTTTCTTGCATGATATTTTTAGCTTGTGTATGATCTGTTTTGGAGCATGATGTAAACTGTAAGAAGGCTTATTTTGAGCCCCTCTTCAACATTGAAGAAGGGCTCATCACTGTTTGGGACCTCCATGTACCACTTGTCATTATATCCATCTTTGGTCCCCATTTTTGCATGACTTGGTAGCCTATTGTGCTTCTATTTTTGGTCATTTTACAGAGCTATAAAAAGTCTTATTTTGTCCCATTCTTCATGTTTCATTAAGGGCCTTTCATGATTTGAGGCATATTTTATACACTTCATGTTATATCTCTCTTTTGGACCTCATTTTGCATAGCATTTTTGACATATTTGCATACTGTTTTGGGTCCAACCCTCAACTGTAAAATGCCTTATTTTTGGTCCCTCATCAGTATTGTAGAAGAGTTTATTTCTGTTTGGGCTTTGCATCTACCACTTCCTTCTTTGGCCATCTTTTGGCTCATTTCTTGCATGAAAGCTTAGCCATACCTATGTTTGTTTTTGGGCTATTTTCAGAACTGTAAAAGATCATGTTTTGGGCCCCTCTTCAACTTTGTTGAAGGGCCCTAATCTGTTTGAGGGCAGCAGTTGTGAGTTGCTTCTTAATCTCATATTTAGGGCCATTTCTTGCATGCTAGTTTTGCCCTGTTTTTGTTTGCTGTTTGGCCATACTTTGAACTGCAAAAGTGCTTATTTTGGGGCTGCCTTGCTTCTGTCTATTCATTGCATGTCCATATTGTGCATGTTTGGTATAGCTATAGGCCATTTTGGGTGCCAAAATTCATGTTTCGAGACTATTCCATGCATCGGGTGTACCTTCGCCTCATTTCAGGACTGTTTTCCCCCACATTTCAGTGCTGAAATTCCATTAGCATGTTTGCATATCATTTTCCATGCTATTGCATTGCGTATGCCATTGCCTCGGTTTGCGTGCCCGTGTGCACGCATTTCGTGTCACTTCATTTTCATCCATCGGCTTCTTATGTGAGTGTGGCTGAGGCTCTCTCATGTTAGTATAAGTCCATGTTGCATTCTATATGCCATTTTAGCCATATTGCATTGCGTATGTTATTTTCTCGGTTTGCGTGCCTGTGTGCACGCATTTCGAGGCACCCCATTTTCATCCACCGGCCTCTTATATGAGTGTGGCTGAGGCTCTCTCATGTTAGTATAAGTCCATGTTGCGTTTTATATGCCATTTTAGCCATTGCATTGCGTATGCCATTGCTGGTTTGCGCGCCCGTGTGGACGCATTTCGAGGCACTTATTTTCAATCCACACCGGCTTTTATGTGAGTGTGGCTGTGAGGGTTCCTCATGTTACGTATAGATCCATGTTGCATTCTAATATGCATTTAGCCCTATTGCATTGCGTATGCATTGCTTCGGTTTGCGTGCCCGTGTGGACGCATCTCGAGGCATCTCATTTTCACAGCAATAGTGCATACTAGTTGTATCTTACATCGCATTCATAGCACTTTCTGGTTTGCGTGCCGATGTGTGCACGCAATTTCGAGGCATGTCGTCCATAGCATTGTGTGATGTTGGATGTATTTTATTGCATTTCATGAATGTCATGCATATTGATGTGTTGGAATAGGAGTATGAGCCGGCACGGGAAAGGGTGGAATTTCTGTACTCGATGACGGAATGTGTCCTCAATTCCATCCACCGACACTCCGATCATCCCCTGATGAGGTTAGGTCTTGTTGTGTTTTCATGTGCATTCATTTCGTATATTGAGTTGTGCATTCGAGGCTGCTGCCATCATGCTCGGTATGCAGTGATTGGTGAGAACGAGTAGGAGGATAGAAGGCTGCATAT